TTTTAAATCTCCCATAAAAGGACAGTATAGGAGTTGATACAATTGATCATATTGTATATATGTTGTTCTGAATGAAGAAGAGTAAACTACTTGTTCTTTACTGTTCACATGTGTGGCATATTTTCTCTCTCTGGCAAGGTAGTGTGTGGGCTCATCAAACGTGAACTACACTTGGTTTATTTTACATTACGCCACAAAGACAATGCTCACAATGTGTTGTTGTAGGCTTTCATGGCCGGAACCACTGGGTTGCTGTGAGTTTTCCAGGCTGTATGGTCATGTTCCAGAAGCATTCTCCCCTGATGTTTCACCCACAGCTATGGCAGGCATCCTCAGAGGATGCCTCAGGAATCCTCAACCTCTGAGGATGCCTGCCATTGATGTAGGTGAAACGTCAGGAGAGAATGCTTCTGGAACATGGCCATATAGCACGGAAAACTCACAGCATTCACAATCCTGTCTTTTTGGATATAATTATAAGCCCCCTTGGCAGAAACATTTGAAAAGGCCATGGGTGAAACAGCTCTAAAATAATATTAAGTGCCCTACAATTAAAGGCCAAGTCAACTAGTGCAAAAACAAATGTATAGATGCTTGAATTTAGCCTGGCTTCAATCCAGTTTTACCCTGCATTTGTAGAATGACTCTGATGCTGTAATACTGAGCATTAGAACATCATGGCTTCCACATGAAAGATCACTCCTGGAAAGAAAAGCCTACATCCATATCTACTTAGGGGCCTGCTTTTTGGATTGATGTAGTCCCAGCAGTAGTGAGAATCCATAAATCTAGCATTACTCTCGATTATGGTGAGAAATTAAATCCAGCCTGGACATTTTCAAAAAAGAGATCTAAAAGACTCGGATGCCTTCTGGAAGGCTCAGATGGTCACATATTCCCTTTCAGCAATTCACAGATGAAAAGGCTACTGCAGTTTGCTTTTGCCTGGGCTTACTGGGAAGGGAAGGATTCCATCCCTTCTGTGGTGGAGTTGATTGAGTGCAAAACTACTCCGAATTCATTTTGCAGAAACCAAAGTAAGCTGAAGACCAATAGGGGAAGGTGAAAAAGTGCGACCATCCCTGTGAAATCTGGACAGTTGGAGGCTACGCTGGCTAGATATGCCAAAATGTTCAGATTGAGGTCAAGGTTCAAGAAAAGTGCAAATCGTTCATTTCATGGTCCAGCCTAACCCTTCACAGCGAGGAAGTAATAATTTGCACACTATCATAATTACTTACAAAATTACATTCAACGGTATTGCAAACATCAGGGACATTTTGTTGTTTATGTAATGAGTAATATTTTCTAATTACTTTTTAAACTACTTTTTTTGGACTAGTAGTTCCCAACTTTTTTTGACCAGGGACCACTCTGACTCTCCAACATTAGTCCAAAAGGGTGACGAATCAGTTTTTGAGCAACTTTAGATTTGGTTTGGTTATTTGGGGTGCTGAGTCAGTAAATTGTATTGGATAGACCACATCAGCTCTAGTTTCTGATACAGAACATATGACATCCAGCAGTCGCCATCTGCTCGCTCACAGAAACCACATTTAATAAGCCTTGGCACTATAAGATGGTTTCGCGAGACCAGTCGCTCTCATTGCAATGGTGTAGTAACAGTGAGGCAATGGACCATATTTTAGTTCTTGCGGACCACTGGTGGTTCACGGACCAAAGGTTGGGAACCACTGTTTTAGACATTAAGGTACCTTTTGATCCCCCCTCCCCCCCCCCAGTTTTTACACTATAATACGAACCCCATATCTGCAGTTTCATTTATCCACATCTGAAAAAATACATCCTCTCAAGGCATTTTCAAAGTCTTCCAGTATAACTCTATGGTATTCATGGGCAAGAGATCTATAATTTCAAAAGTTTAATATTTTTCGTGGTTTCGCATATTCATGTGGAATCAAAGAACAGATCCCCCATGGATCTGGAGATCATATTGTATTCTCTTAATCAACCTTAAATGAAAAAGTAATGGAAAGAGTAAAATAATGAATTGTCGTGAATTGTAAGGCAGAGGCAGCTCTGCAATATGCGATCACAATGAATTTCTTCAAAAAGGCAGCTTTTTAAACTATTCCACATCCCAGCTGTTTCTCCCCATCAACATATCGAGATTGAAGACTGTAAAAGAGTCTCATGAAGAGCTACCATTCAGTGGCTTGCAATTGACAATTCAATGGGATTCATATAAAAGCAGCACTTAAAGAGATGCAAAATGCTAACCAAGTTCAGATCTATCAGGTTCTATCGGTGGAATGCATGCCATCAGAAGTCTACATTCAACTGGCTCAGAGGCTGACTACAGAAAAGTTGAATTTTTGGACAACCACAGGGTATGGTGGCAGGAGAATTCTGGGAGCTTGTTTCAAGAAAAGTAATGTTTTCTCAGCTCTGCCCATAGGAAGAGGAAAAATAACTCTGCCACCAAAACATCCTATCAATTAGGAGCCCATGGTGGCACAATGGGTTAAACCCAACCCTTGTGCCAGCAGGACTGCTGACTGAAAGGTCAGTGGTTCGAATCTGGAGAGCACAGTGAGCTCGTCTGTCAGCTCCAGCTTCCCAAGTAGGAACATGAGAAAAGCCTCCCACAGGATGGTAAAACATTCGTGCATCCCCTGGGCAACGTCCTTGCAGACAGGCACTTCTCTCACTCCAGAAGCGACCTGCAGTTTCTCAAGTCACTCCTGACACAGAAAAAATCCTATCAATTGCACAGATTAAGCCATTTTGCCACCATTCTGGGGCCACGTGTGCCACTATTCCTGCCTGGGATTGCTCATCTAAGTCAGCTCTGGAACAAAGTCTGCCCCGTGTGCCTTGTGTTAGTCACAGTTCTGGCACAAGACGTTTTGCTGACTTCAGTGAAGGACGAGACGGTGCCGCCCTCTTCCATAGGGTTGACATTACATGCAGATGTTGACATGGAAGCAGCGTCCTTCACTTTATTTGGCCAGTAGTCTTCATAACAAGCATAGTGGCAACATCTTATGGCCAATTCCCTGTCCTTGAGCTTCTGCTGCCTGTGGCAGTCTCTCATTCCACCTAATAGTATGGCTGTCTCTCATTAGTTCTTTGCGGTTGGGTGCCAGGCTGGCTTTTGGTAGAACTTCACTCGACCCCACAAGCTGGGAAGGTTACTATTTTCCAGACAGATTTCAGAAATCCGTAGTGTTGTTTGCTTTCACACAACTCCTTCCAGACCAATTTGGCAGGTGGATTAGAACATGTGGGCGGCATACAGCCCCAAGGCACTTAAGAATATGGATTCAGATCTGAAAAATTCCAGATCTCCTTCCCTTTTTTAAAAAGGAAAGACAAAAAAGAAGAATGAATGAATGTTATCAAGCCATTCACACCCTGTTTCCATCTCATAATTGAGATCAACTTGGTCCCTAGTGAAGAGGAGCTGGATAACATAAACATAAACATAAATGTTTGAGGTCTCTCCCACAAAACTCTTTTTAAAAACTCATTTTAGATTTCAGGAACTTCTCAACCTAACAACAGGCATGTGTATGAATACTCTTGTGCAAGGAAGCCATACCACCACATGGTCGAATCAGGAGAAATGGACATTGAAAAATGACCGATCATAGCTAGACACTCTAGGCCGGTGTTTCTCGACCTTCCATATGCCACAACCTCTTAATACAGTTCCTCATGCTGTGGTGACCCCAAACCATAACATTTGTGTTGCTACTTCATAACTGCATTTGCTACTGTTATGAATCGTCATGTAATTATCTGATATGAAGGGTTTATTTTCATTCACTGGACCAAATCTGGCAAAAAAACCGCAATACACCCAAATGTGAATGCTGGTGGCATTGGGGAGGACTGAGTTTGTCATTTGGGAGTTGTAGTTGTTGGGATTTATAGTTTCATTGCTACTTCATAACTGTAATTTTGCTACTATTATAAGTAGTAATGCAAATATCTGACATGCAGGATGGATTTTCCATCACTGGACTAAATTTGGCCCAGATTTCAATACTGGTGGGGGGGGGGTTGATTTTGTCATTTGGGAGTTGTAGTTGCTGGGATTTATAGTTCACCTACAATCAAAGAGCATTCTGAACTCCATCAATGATGGAATTGAACCAATCTTGGCACACAGACCTCCCATGAACAACAGAAAATACTGGAAGGGTTTAGTGGGCATTGACCTAGAGTTTAGGAGTTGTAGTTCACCTACATTCAGAGAGCACTATGGACTCAAACAATGATAGATCTGGACCAAACTTGACACGTAAACTCAATATGCCCAAATGTGAACACTGGTTGAGTTTGGAGAAAATAGACCTTGATATTTGGAAGTTGTCGTGGCTGGGATTTATTCACCTGCAATCAAAGAGAATTCCAAACCCCACCAACAATAGAGTTGAGCCAAACTTCCCACATAGAACCCCCATGCCTTGAAAGGACTTGCTGGTGAGAGCCTCCCTCCCACCTCGTATGCTCTCCCTCACCAGCACCACATTGCCATGCGCCAAGCATGCCTGCTCTCCCTTCCCCTGCTTGGAGTCTCAGAAACAGCCCTCCCCTTGGATGAGAGGCTGGCCAATCACAGCGGAGGAGGGCTTTTGGTGGGAGGATTCACCATCTGTTTCCAAAAAGGAAGAGAAAGACGGATGAAGAGATCTTCAGCCTTCTCTGCTAACGGGGTTCCTAAGACCATCAGAAATATATGTTTTCTGATGGTCTTTGGCGTCCCCTGGGAAACCCCCTTGCGACCTCGTCTGGGGTCTTGACCCCCAGGTTGATAAATGCTGTTCTAGGCCATCTGTTCCTGTTTCCAAGTTCTTCCAAAGGAACTTGGAAAAGAAGGACAGGAAGAGGCATACCCTTGGCCTTACTACAACTTGACTTTCAGAAAACCACTCCTGGAGCCTCTGCCTTGGAGTCCCCTGGCTGATCTCTCACAACTACCAGCAGGTTTCCAGCTCCAAGCTCGATATAACAAAAATGATGCTGAAACATTTAGCAAAATGTTCTATTCTGTTAGTGGGGAGGCATAGCAAGACCATGGTCCCTGCTCTTGAAAAACACTGGCCTAGCAGGATAGTAGAAAGGGTGCTCTGTGGCAACACTTCAACTAAGTGATACAGCAGGAAAAGCACCTTCCTCTCAAGGAGCACTTCTCCTATACAGAGTCACCAAATCCTTTGGTGCTCCTATCTGTTGCTTGGCAGGCTCCTTTTTCAGTTCTTCTAAATCTTTGACCTCTTGCAGGACCTGCGTGGCTTGCCGGAGCTGTGCCGCCGCTGCATTGAGCAATGTCTCTGCATTTAGTGGTGGTCCGTTGCCATCCTGGACCTGCTCAAGTCCTCGCTGTAGAACCTTCTGCAGGAGCTTTTCTGTTCTCTCCTGTTCACATGCCACTTTCTTTTTCATGTGAGCCACGTGGAGATCAGCCCACTGGGGATCCTGCCTCTTGGTTGGTTCCGACAGCAGGTCAACCAGGGAGGCACAACGAGGCTTAGAAATCACAGCACTTCCCACCACTCCTGCGATGGGTACCGGGTCATCAGAAGGCAAGCTTAGACACTTCTTGTTTGCTCCAGGTTCTGATGAAGGCTCTTGCAGCGTTTGAGGAGGAAGATGCTCCTCTCCATTGTGAAAAACAGGTTCTGTTGTTCTATCACCATCAAAACCATTCACTGGTGGTTTGGCATCTCCAGCTTGGTGTTCACCTTTGGATGTATCTGCCTCTGGGCTGCTCAAGGTACAACTCGTGCTGTCTTGAGGCCCCTCTAACAAAATCTTGGGAGGTGGTCTTGGAGGTTGGGCTGCTTCTTGGCCTACTTCCTGGAGGTCTTCTTTGCTGCCAGTTGTTGATGGATTTCCAAGCTGTTCTGAGGATGGACTGTCCCATGAGACTTTCAGCTTGTCAGACAAGACCTTCAAGGGAACAAGTGGAGGTTTGGAGGCATTTTTGTCAGCCTCCATTACGCTTTCTCCACTTGGGACAACTTTGGATTCTTCAGCATCTTCACCTTTAATGGCAACACATTTCTCTTCTTCCTCTTTCTCCTTTTCTTTTCCCTCTACAGAGTCCACATTTTCAATAACTGTGATTACTTCCTTATGAGGCTTCACAGGAGGCACTGGGGGTTTCTTGGATCCAGTTTGGGATATTTCAGCCTCCTCTCCTGCAACATCTTCCTCCTCCTTTTCCTCCTTCACAGAATCTGTATTTTCATTTGCAGTTACTTCCTTAAGAGGCTTGGCTGGAGGCATAGGTGGTTTCTTAAATTTACCTTTAGATTCTTCAGCATCTTTAGCAGTAACAGCAATCTCTTCTTCCTCCGTCTTATCTACTCCCACAGAGTTCATATTTTCATTGGATGCTCCTGCTTCCTTTGGAGGCTTAGCAGGAGGCATTGGGGGTTTCTTCAGTTCCACATCTTCTGGGGTAGAATCAGGATTTGCATTCTCAGTAGGAAGGATCGACACACTTGTAGGGGGCATAGGTGGTTTCAATGTCTCCTTTGGAGGAGGAATAGGATCAGGATCCCCTGTCACCAAGGTGATATTTGGAGGACCACTATCGGGCACATCCAGGTCAAGCCTCAGGATTCCATCTGACATTGCATTGGCAACCTAGACAACAAGAAAGGAACAAAGAGATCTATGTTCAGATACACATAGCAATTACACATTTAGTTCTTTCAAAGCTGGGCTTTGCAGTTTCCAACTCTCATGATTAATGAACATTAAGCCATGGCAGTTCAGGTGGCACCATACTGCATTAATTCTACAGTGTAGATGCACCCTATGATGAGTGAGGGGTGCTATTTCCTACTCTGCTTTGGGCAGCAACATTTCTGGAGTGACAAATCAATATTTTTTCAGTTGCAGCCTCTGGACTGTGGAATTCAAACTCCACAACTACAAGGTTTTCAGGTGGCACCAAACTGCATTAATTCTACAGTGTAGATGCACCCTATGATGAGTGAGGGATACTATTTTCTACTCTGCTTTGGGCAGCAACATTTCTGGAGTGACAGGTCAATATTTTTTCAGTCGAAGCCTTCACACTATGGAGTTCAAACTCCACAACTACAAGGTTTTCAGGTGGCACCAAACTTCATTAATTCTACAGTGTAGATGCACCCTGTGATGAGTGAGGGATGCTATTTCCTACTCTGCCTGGCAGGACTGAAGACCAACAGGTCGGAGGTTTGAATCCGGGGAGAGAGCGGATGAGCTCACTCTTATCAGCTCCAGCTCTCCATGTGGGGACATGTGAGAAGCCTCCCACAAGGGTGTTAAAACATCAAAACATCCGGGCGTCCCCTGGGCAACATCCTTGCAGATGGTCAATTCTCACACAACAGAAGCAACTTGCAGTTTCTCGAGTTGCTTCTGACATGACAAAAAAAATCAAAATTTCTTGAGTGACAGGTCAATATTTCTTCAGTCACAGCCTCCAGACTTCGGAAATCAAATTCCACAACTACAGGGTTTTTATGAGTCTGCACTGAGCATTTTTATTTTGCTGGGTTTTTGATACAAAGTGATAGTTTGGCAATTGACTTTTTGTTTTGTTATTACTTGTTGGTAATTAATGCAACAGTTTGATTTTGCATACAGTTTGCTACTTTTTGATTTTTGATACTTCACTTTCATTTGCATTCTGCTAGGTCATAGGACACGGTATGCCTTTTGTACACAAACAAAACAGAACTATTACACAGACGATACATAAACATCAGTTCCCATGTGTGATTCAAAGTGAGTGAAGCTTGTCAGTGTCATTTTTGTGCTCCAGCTCCCAGAGTTTCTCAGGCTGTGAGATTACGAGAACTGTAATCCAAGGGCAATTTCCCCAATATTAGTTCTACATACAATAGTCCGCTTGCCACTCCAGCCCTATAAATAGCAGAATCCAACAAAAACAAAAACCCACTTATATGTGGAATTGTCTCTTAAAATCTGGATTTTATATGCCAGTGTAGACGAGGTCTCATATAATCTAGTTCAAAGCAGAAATTTATATTCGCCGTGGTGGTGCAATGGGTTAAACCCTTCTGCTGCTGAACTGCTGATGTGAAGGTTGGCAATTTGAATTCACAAGACAGGATGAGCTCCTATCTGTCTACTCCAGCTCCTGCCAACCTAGCAGTTCAAAAACATGCAAATGTGAGTAGATAAATAGGCAGGAAAAGGCAAAGAGACACTCCGAGCAATCTTGCCAGCCACAGGAGGTAACAACGCAGGCTCCTCGGCTTGTACATGGAGAAAGCACCTTCCCAGAGCCAGAGATGAGCACTGCCTCTAGAAGCCAGAAATGAAAGGAGAAGCCTTTGCCTTTGTGTTCATGTTTCTCATTGCATATGATTGTAAAGTCATTGAATGTTTGCCTATGTATGTAAATGCTGTAATCCACTCTGAGTCCCTTAGGGGAGAAGGGCAGAATATAAATAAAGTGTATCATCATCATCATCATCGTCGTCATGGATTGGATTTAGGCTGGATCTACACTGCCTTATAATCCAGATTATCAAAACAGATAATCTAGATGATAATCAAACCCCCAAAAGTCAAATCCTTGAACATGGAGGACTGGCTGTATTCATATTCAGATGAGCAAATGTACAAAACTGTGTTCATTCAGGGTTTTTAAAGCTCTGATTCTTACCTCTTTTAGGTGGCTTCTGGTTGGCGGCCGGCGTCCATGCGCTTGTTTAGCCCTCCCTCGAGTCACATGCTCCAAGGAGAGACTTTCATCCACTTTCACCTTTAAGCAAGAAAACACAGACAGGCATCACTTTCTTGGATCTTGAAAACTAAGGAATGGTCAGCTTTCCAAACCCAGAGATTTGAGGACCCTTCTGGACATCCATTGGTACAATACAAAAATTTTCTGCTGTGTAAAAGACAATTAGGTTTATATGAGAGTCTTTGATGGAGAGTAGAGATGTAATCTCAGGGGGCTGAAAAATATGTTTGATTTTTTTCTATTACTATTCACAAGCAAATGTGAGTAAATCAACAGATACTGCTTCTGCGAGAAGGTAACAGCGCTCCATGCAGGCTTGTTGGCCACATAACTTAGGAGGAGTCTACGGACAATGCTTACTATATCAATTATGTGCAATCAATATATATATATATATATAAAAAAATGTAATGTTCGTTTGTGGGATTAACATAACTCAAAAACCACTGGATGAATTGTCACCAAATTTGGACACAACACACCTATCAGGCCAGTGGGTGACCATCACTCATAAAGACACTGAAAAATACAGCAGAAGGGACTTAAAAAACCAAAAAAATAAAAATACATTACAATGCAAGAACAAAACCACACATATATATGCAAACACACATATATACACATATACACAAATATATACACACTCATACACACACAAAACACATATACACAGACTGGGCCACAGCAATGCGTGGCAGGGGACAGCTAGTGTATATTCACGCTGATAAGACAGATAGTTAAGGAGGAAAAGACTTTGGGAGAATATAGGGATCTCCTACATTGGGGGCGGGGGGAGTTTGGAAGTGCTGAATTTATCTTCACTATATCTCTTTTTTCTTTCTTTTTTCTTTATTCCTTTTATTAACGAACTTTTATGGTATCTATTTGAAAAATGTAATAAAAGTTTACAAACCCAAAAAAATCCTTTAAAAAAGTAATTCAGGTAAGGTAAAGGTTTTCCCCTGACATTAAGTCCAGTCGTGTCCGACTCTGGGGTGTGCCGTTACCTTCCCGCTGGAGCAGTACCTATTGACTTACTCACATTTGCATATTTTCGAACTGCTAGGTTGGCAGAAGTTGGGGCCAACAGCGGGAGCTCACCCTGTCCCATGGATCTGAACCGCCGACCTTCCGGTCAGCAAGTTCTGCAGCTTAGTGGTTTAACCTGCTGCACTACCACAGCCCCTCCAAACTGGATTATCTGCTTTGATAATATGGATTAAATGGTAGTGTATATCCAGCCTCAGACATCTAACAATGAGGGATGTCAATTTGTTTTGCAATTCCATTGCAAATCACCCAGAAATCCACCAGTATATCCAGTGTGGTCTACATCTGTGCTTCTCATGCTATCTGTCTCTGCTGTGGACAATCACTCATTATTGTTTTCCAATGGACCTATTTTCCTTTTGGCATCTATTGGGTACAACTGTTTCTATCTTTACTGGAAACACTCCATGAAGTGACAACTGGTGCCTCAGGGACCGGAAACAGTCTAGAAGCCAAAACTTTGAGTTGTCTTGGTCTGTGTGGCAGAAGCTGGGGCTGACAGTGGAAGCTCATGCTGCTCCCCAGATTGGAACCTGTGACCTTTCGGTCAACAACTCAACAGCTCAGCGGTTTAACCCACTGCGGGGCTAAAAAAAAAAATAACTCAAGCAAGCTTCTTTCCCCACGAAAACATATAAAGTGTAAGATATAACAGTGTGCCAAATGGTCTCCTGCTATAAACCTGTATCTTGTAAAAGATTTTGACTAATGGAAAACCTGGCTTGGCGGTCTCTTCCTAGTTCCTTTCCATGCATTAGCTTTCTCAAAGAAGTATTCTGCATTACAGGCTTTGTACGTCTATTCACCTAGGAGACAACCACTTTGGGATGTTGTCAGGAAAAAGCAAACGGAGTTCATTACAGAAACACAAGTCCATCCACCTGAGAAAATTAATATGTCCAGGCTTCAAAATGTGCCAACTTGCGTCATGCACAGCTACCTTCAAAAACTGCCAGCATTGGCAGGCATGATGTCACATCTCTGTTTTCTTCTTCCTTTGTAAAAGCAGCATCCCAGTTTGAATATAGCTTTGCTCCAAATCTCCAGCTTGGCTTTGAGAGACAAATTATTCGTCTGTCCGCGATTTAGCCCACTAAAAGGTTGGGTTCAATTGCACTCATAACTCAATAACTGGACTCTCCATGATCCAACCCTGAAAATCTGATGTTCTGTGACAGCTCGGCCCTCCTAGAAGAAGGCAACGTCCCACCCTCCTCCTTCTCTGCATCTGTTGCCGGGAAAAACAGTGAGAGGCCCGACTTGGGTCAGTGTTATGAAACCGTTTCCTTCTAAGCTGAATGATTCAGATTCACTCTGCTTACACACATCTCCTTTTGGCTTGAATTTAGAGATAGAGGGAGAGGGGAAAGAGAACTTGATTAAAAGTTCACTCAAAGTTTACATTCCACAACAAAAATCTTTTTTTTATTTTGATACAGGCCTACTTGGGGGCTGGGGGGCTGTCCAAGCAATTTTGCGACCTCTGGCCAAAATAAATCCTTTCCTATTGACACAACACCCTAAAGTCCTGATCCAGCTCTTACTAGCACCATACTGGAACGTCTCATTCTACAGTGAAAGGGAATGACAGAAGAAAATTCTGCCCACTCCACTTGACATGGCATCTTCCCATTGAGATTTCTCTGCAAAGCATCCAAGGCTGGATCGACACTGACTGTCACAGGAGGGGCGAGGAGGAAAGTGGCTGCCATACTGTGTCCCCAGGTCTCTTGATACTGGGAAACATGGGCTGGCAATGGGAACAGTTGCAGTCAGTTCTGTTTCCACGCAGATAGTTCTTCCACCTTTGGTTAATGCAGGGCAAGGCTGCATCAAGCTGGGCGTGCACTGCGTTACTGATCCAGCTTTATGCCATCCTAAGTGGTCAGTGTAGATCTGGCCCAGGTTTTGAGCCAAAGGCTTTCCTTGGCAGATATGCCAATGCAGAAATAAGTTCCCTGAAAATAGCAGTGGATAGTGGGTGAGGATGAAACTGGAGATTCACTTGAAAACTAGACAAACTACCGTATGTACTCAAGTATAAGCTGAGTTTTACTCGAGTATAAGCCGAGTATAAGTCGAATATAAGCCTTTTTTAGGCTGAAAAATCCCCGTCAGCTTATACTCAAGTGAAAGTTATTTATTATTTTACTCTGTTGTTATTATTATTATTATTATTATTATTACATGTATTATTTTACTCTATTTTTATTATTATTACATTTACTATTTGACTCTATTTTTATTATTACATTTATTATTGTTATTGTTATTGTTACATTTTCATTATTTTACTCAGTTGTTATTTTTATTATATTTATTACTTTATTATTATTGTTATTATTTCATTTACATTATTTTTATTCTATTATTTTAGTACATTTATTACTAGCCATCCCCTGCCATTTGTTGCTGTGGCCCAGTCTGTGTATATGTGTTTTGTGTGTATATATATGTGTATGTTTGTGTATATGCGTATATGTGTGTTTGTGTATATATGTGGTTTTGCGCATGCGTTATAATGCATTTTTTGTTTTATGGGTTTTTAAGTCTCTTCTGCTACGTTTTTCAGTGTTTTTATGAGTGATGGTCACTCTTGGGCCTGATAGGTGTATTATGTCCAAATTTGGTCTCAATTCATTCACTTTGTGCATTATGTTAATCCCACAAACGAACATTACATTTTTATTTATATAGATTTTACATTATTATTATTATTATTATTATTATTATTATTATTACATTTATTATTTTATTCTATTTGTTATAATTATTACATGTATTATTTTACTCTATTTATTATTGTTATTACATTTATTATTTTACTCTATTGTTATTGTTTTTATTACATTTATTATTTTACTCTCTTTATTATTATTAGAAGGATACGTAAGCACATTTACATTAGAATAATGATTTAATCAGAGTTGGGCAGTGTTATCCTAAATTACAGTTTTATGTAAATATTCAAAAACATTGAACCGACTGATGCCTCAATTAATGTCATTTTATTGGTATTTATTTTTATTTTGAAATTTACCAGTAGCTGCTGCATTTCCCACCCTCGGCTTATACTTGAGTCAATACGTTTTCCCAGGTTTTTTTTTTGTAAAATTAGGTGCCTCGTCTTATATACGGGTCGGCTTATACTCGAGTATATATGGTAATTAAAGAAGAAATAACACTTCAAACCAGGAACAGAAAAGGTTTCAGATTTTGTTACATGGTGATTTAGAATGTATTTCATCAGGCATTGCAACCATTAAATGTAGAGGAGCCCTCTCCAGTTTTCATTCTGGCAACTTTAGGATAAATGTCTTGGGCTGAACCCATTTGGCAGGTTTTCCTCTGTTTCCCAAATCTACAGCAGCTGCCTAGAACACATTCCAGCATCCGTTACGCCACACTGCCTTGCTCTTCCTGGGTCCCAGAGTCTTGCTCTTGCTTCCCGCAGCAGACCTTTAGTCCAACAGGACTTTTGGACTTCAGTTTTCAGAACTTCTGGCTAATTCTACTGGGAGTATGTGTCTCAAATAAGTGGAAGGCCAAAAGGTGGGAACCACTGCTTTAGCACCATGTGAGTTTAGGTTTGGGTTAGCAGTGGAGGAAGTTGCGATGTAAAGTTGCTCACCTTAAGGGAAGTCAAAGCCAGAAGTGACTTCTCCAAACTGGTACCTCTAAGGTACCAGACTAAGGTAAAGGTTTTCCCCTGACATCAAGTCCAGTCATGTCTGACTCTGGAGGTTGGTGCTCATCTCCATTTCTAAGCTGAAGAGCCAGCATATTATTATTATTATTATTATTATTATTATTATTATTATTATCCATAGACACCTCCAAGGTGATGTGGCTGGCATGACTGCATGGAGTGCTGTTACCTTCCTGCCGGAGCAGTACCTATTGATCTACTCACATTTGCATGTTTTCAAACTGCTAGGTTGGCAGAAGCTGGGGCTAACAGTGGGAGCTCACCCCGCTCCCCGAATTCGAAACTATGACCTTTTGATCAGCAAGTTTAGCAGCTCAGCGGTTTAGCCCACTGCATCACCAGGAGCTCCCTTTTGATAGACTACAATTTCCATTATTCCCATGCAACAGAGGTCTAGTACAAGACATCTGGAAGTGCAGCAGATTGAACGACGACTCTCATTTATATTTACCAGTACATTTGACACTGCACTTTACCTCATCAAACACCTTGTTTTTGCCTCGGTTAATGCCTTCATTGAGGGCTTTCATCCACGACTCCTTTTCTTCCCCATTTAACGCCTGAAATTTGATATCCTGAACCTGAAAGGAAGGAGAGGAGAATGGATTTTATTCAAGTGCTGCAAAAAAGAGAAATTGGTGCCCAAGTCTGGTGTCCTGAAGGAGCAACATTTTTTTCCCCAAATGGAGATCAGGGTTCACGGAACGTAGACAGGGCAATATTGTTCTCTCTGGATAGTTTTGAATACAATTTTGTAGTATGAAAGAGGGTCTACCTGTCTAGATTCCAGCTCTAGATAAGGAAGATGGAAATTTAGCTGCCGATCCAGTTCCGAGCACAATTCAAAGTGCTGGTTTTGATCTATAAAACCCTTTACGGTTCTGGCCCAACATACCTGTCTGAACATATCTTCCTCTACGTCCCACCTCAAAGTTTAAGATCTTCTGGGGAGCTCCTGCTCTCAGCCCTGCCTCTGTCTCAAACACGCTTGGCAGGGATGAGGGACAGGGCCTTCTCGGTGGTGGCTCCCTGCTTGTGGAATTCACTCCCCGGGGAAATGAGGTCATCTTCATCCCTCCCCTCCTTTAGAAAGAAGTTAAAAACGTGGATGTGGGACAAGGCCTTCGGGTACTTAAGCGGACAATGACAATGACAATGTTGACAATGGCTTGGAAATGGACTAGGGATAAGTTTAATGAAGTATCCAATCACAGAACTTGGCTAGATAACAGCCACCAGCCTGGTAATGGTAGGTAGATTTTAATTGTATTGATTTAATGTTTTTAACTATTTATAATTATTTGTTGTTATGTATTTTATTATGTGTGAGAGAGAAAAGGAAAGAGAGATAAAAGAAAAGGACCTGAGGCTGTTGGGAATGGTGGGAGTTGGAGTCCAAAACACCCGGAAGGCCCAAGTTTGCCCAAGCCTACTTCATATGATTCCAGACTGCATCCCATATGACCTTCCACCATTGTTTAGGGCTAAAAAGAGGAGCAATCAAAGAGTATTTGGCAAGCAACTTAATCAGTGTCCCAATTGTACACTAAAGCCCCTTCTACACTTCCATATAAAATCCAGATTATCTGCATTGAAATGGATTCTATTGCAGTGTAGACTCATATAATGCAGTTCAAAGCAGATACCGTCTGCTTTGACAATCTGGATTATATGACACAGTGTAGAAGGGGCTGAAGGTACATCCACACTGCAAAATTATTACAGTTTGACACCACTCTGAGTTGACTCAGGCCCCTTCTAGATTATCAAAGCAGATAATAATAATAATAATAATAATAATAATAATAATAATAAGCCTTGCCTCTGTTTATGTACTGTCTGCCTCTGTCAATTATTTAACAGCATTGAATGTTTGCCATATATGTACCTATAATCTGCTCTGAGTCCCTTCAAGAAGATAAAGCAGAATATAAATAAAGTATATTATTATTATGTTATCACCCAAGCTACACCTCCAGCCCAGTATATTATTATTATATTATGAGATGCATCCTTAAAATGACATCACTATTTTTAAGGATGTATCTAATAATATTATAATAATATACTGGGCTGGAGGTTTAGCACAGGTGGTAAATCATCAGCAATTATAAGATCTATCAACCAAAAAGGTTGCAAGTTCGAAGCCCCGGGTTGGCAGGAGCTGCCAACTGTCAGCCTAGCTCATTGTTTACTTAAACAATTCGAAAACAGCTTTATCTGAGATTAGCGAAATTAGGGACCACTAAAAGCGGGAGAGGTGTTTTACGATGCCATAAAGAAAAAAAGATCAGAAAATGCTGGGCGACCAAAAGGAAGAAAGAACTCCTGACGGCTCTTCGTCATTGAGCAACAGCACCCCCTGGACTCAAGCACAACCTTCCATGGCACGAAAAACAGCTGGACACAGTTTCAAATCAAACCACCTCCTTCTGTTGTCTGTGTGTCTGTGTATTCTCTATACAAGGAGGCACTGAATGTTTGTCGTGTATGTGTACTGTGATCCGCCCTGAGACCCCTTCGGAGTGAGAAGGGACAGAATATAAATAAAATATTATTATTATTATTATTATTATTATTATTATTATTATTATTATTATTACTAAGCTACCTGGACCACTGACCAGATTCGCTATATAGCTCCTTCCTTGCTACATGCACACCAACATGATATCCTGCAGTTTTCATATGAAAATCCCACTATTTCTGACTATGGGGGAGATGTATTGTCGAAGGCTTTCATGGCTGGAATCACTGGGTTGTTGTTTTTTTTCCAGGCTGTATGGCCATGTTCCAGAAGCATTATCTCCTGACATTTCACCTGCACCTATAACACGCATCCTCAGAGGACCTCACAACCTCTGAGGATGCCTGCCATAGATGTAGATGAAATGTCAGCAGAGAATGCTTCTGGAACATGGCCATACAGCCCGGAAAATGCACAACAGCCCTATGGGGGAGATAGTTGAGATCCGAGCAACATGAGGCGATTTTTTCTGCTCCAACTAAAGCTGCAAAGTAACGCCTGCATCAGAAATCAAGGCCAACCACCCAAAGGGATGAACACCAGGTTCCTCCCAAGTAAGTGCCTGGACAGCGGAGCCTGAATCAGCCTTCAAAACAAGCCAGGAAAAAAACAGGGAAAGCAAAAAGGGGCCAAATGCAGCTCTATAGCACTGGTGCCGAACAGGCACTGAACAGAAACATAAACTGAGATCACTGCTGGTACAGATCAGCTGCCTTTCTCTTGGAGCAGCAATTGGCTGGAAACTTAAGGGAATGAAAAAAGTCTGGGGAAGGGGATCACAAACACTTCATTCAAGCAAAAAAAATTGCGGGGGGGGGGGGGGGGGGGAGGGGAATCCCTGCTGTGTTTTGCTTTCCCAACAACCTTCTCTCTCTCCAAATATGAACACGGTTCCTATTCCTATTCACGTTGTCTCTGCAGGGCCCAGGTTCTGGAGACGTTATATAACTGATTGCTTCAATTATCATTTTTCATGATTAGATCATTTGTTCTTGGCTTCCTGAAACAAACGCGGTTATATAATCCAGAGGGGCTTCCTCTCTGTAGTTCCAGCAGCCAGGAGGAGGAAAACAGCCAATCTCAGGAAGAGAGGGAAGAAAAGGAAAATGCAATGCTGACCAAAACTTAGAGGATGCTGATCATTCAAAGGTTCAACCACCCATAGCGTGAAAATATATCCCCCCCCCTCCCCAAAGAAGTTCCTGTTTGCGTTCCTGATCAAATTGATTTTCTTTTGGAGATCCTCATGACGTTTTCTTCATTTCAAACAATTATTTTATTTATTTATTTATTTATTTATTTAAAACATTTATATTACGCTCTTCTCACCCTGAATGGGACTCAGGGTGGAGCACAGCATATATATGGCAAACATTCATTATATTCATACATAAACATTATAAATATTTATCTCAATATTAAAATACACTGTTTAATTCCCTCTGAACTCCTGCCATTACCACAGACTTTTCAGTCCTACTCCTCGGGTGACTGTCTATCATTCCAATACTGTATTTTCTGCACTAAAACGTGCCCCTCCTTGACTGTCTGTTTATATTATCCTGGAACGTGTCATCAGTAGTAAATACAACTATGGTTTCCCATATTTAGGGTGCCTCTACACTATAGAATTAATACCGTTTGGCACCTTTTTGATTTCAATGCTGACAATTGTGCCATCACCACCCAAGCAGGGAGCTTGGAAATGGTTGAACAGAAGCTCTCCAAAACTTAAGGTGCTCTTAATGCCTATTATAGGGGAAACCAGCTCATTCCTAATCCATCTAAAATGCAGATGTAGCAACCGGTGGCACAGTGGGTTAAACCCTTGTGCCGGCAGGACCGAAGACCGACAGGTCGCAGGTTCGAATTCGGGGAGAGCACAGATGAGCTCCTTCTGTCAGCTCCAGCTTCACATGCCGGGACATGAGAGAAGCCTCCCACATTGAAGGTAAAGACATCAAAACATCCAGGCGTCCCCTGGGCAACATCCTTGCAGACGGCCAATTCTCTCACACCAGAAGTGACTTGCAGTTTCTCAAGTCGCTCCTGACACGAAAAAAAATCTTAAGAACAGACAAGCATCCCGAGCTCTGAGGATGATCTGGGAAGGAATCCCACTGGAGCATTGCAGCACACCCAGATACCTGGGAGTTACTCTGAACCATGCTTTGATTTACAAGAAGGACTGCTCGACTGTCAAGCAAAAAGTAAGCGCTAGAAACTATCATACGAAAACTGACTGGCACAACCTGGGAACACAAACATGCAGTGAAGGCTCTGTCCTTGAACTTGGGTACTCTGCTGCTGAGTACGCATGCCCAGTGTGGAATACTTCTCACCACGTTAAAACAGTGGCTGTGGCTCTTATGATACATATTGCATTATCACAGGATGTCTGTGCCCTTCACTGCTGAAGAAATTATACTGTTTAGCAGGTATTGGACTTCTTGACATCTGTCAGGAAGTAGCAGCCAGTAACGAAAGGACCAAGGCATTGACATCTCCGGCCTATTCTCTGTTCAGATATCAGACAGCAAGCCAACACCTTAAATCAAGGAGCAGCTTCCTAAGATCTACAGCAGTGTGGAGAAGAACAAAGCACAGACCACTTACTGCAATGCAACCTGAGCCCTGCCACATGCACAATGGAGGACCTTCTTGCAGCAACACCAGAGGCACTCCAAGTGGCCAGCTACCGGACAAAGGACATTTAATAGAATACCAAGTCTGCAAACTTTGTGTTTTGTTTGTTTGTTTGTTTTTAATACAATACAACAGTTTTGGTTTACTCCTGACACGTTAAATAAATCTACAGCAGTGGTTCTTAACCTGTGAGCCGCGGACCACTAGTAGGCTGTGAGAATGAAAATCTGGTCCACGACCCTCCTTCTTCTTGATTTATTTTATTTATTTCTGCTCCTTTCACACCACCTGCCACTCTTTTCCTGTCACTGACCATGGAATATGTTCTGTATCAGAAACTAGAGCTGAGGTGGTCTATTCAATGCAATTTCCTGAATCAGCATCCCAAACTGAACCTAAAGTTGACCAAAAACTGATTCGTAACCCTTTTGGTACTAATGTTGGAGAGTGGTCCCTAGTCAAAGTGGTCCCTGGTTAAAAAAAAAAGGTTGTGAATCACTGATCTACAGAGATGCTGGCAGGAACACCTCAGCAAGCAAAAGTCCAAAAGTGGCAGGCTAAAACCTAGAACCTCAATCAGTGGCTGAGACCAGATGAGAAACTCCCTCCTGGACACACAGAAGACTAGGCGACTTAGAAGGAACTGAACAGCCTGTGATCTGGCATCACAAGATGCAGAGCCAACCTTAAGGAATGGGGCTTCAGAGTGCAGTCCACGATATGTGAGTGTGGAGAAGAGGAGACCACAGGTCACTTACTACAATGCAGTCTGATCCCTGCCACATGCACAATGGAGGACCTTCTTACAGCGACACCAGAGACACTCTAGATGGCCAGTTTCTTGTCAAATGACATTTAGTATAATGCCAAGTTTTTAACTTTGTTTGTGGGTTTTTATATGTTATAATTGTATTCTCAATTTGCTTCTGACACAATAAATAAACCATTTCAATTGCCATGGATCAGTACTATGGAATCCTGGAATCCTTAGTTGTCTCCGTGTCCTTAGAGTAACCCTGCATCCTCATACCAAATCCATAGACTTAATAGTTTTTTTTCAGCTACTGACAAGCAAAAGCAACTGGAATGCATTGTTTGGGGGGGGGGGCTCTGAATTTGCAGCATCCTGCAGATTGTGACAAGTGTCACAACAAGGAAAATACTGTTTTGTTGATATGTCTTTCCACAGCTGCAATTTCAAAACCGAAAAATAAAAGCTGGGCCCAGTTATGAATGTTGGAAGCCTGGCGTAACATCTGCAAAATTATGTTGCCTGTCAACATTCATGCCAGATGCCCAGGGAAGGGAAGGGGGAAGGGGGATGTTTGGATCTAGAACAGGAAGCTTTTATAATATTGATCGCCTATTTAAACCAGAGGTTTTCCTTTCGATATCTCCCCTCTATCTGCCTTTCATTGCAATTTTGGGGAAAGCATTGGAAGACCAAAATTGCAGAAGGGTCAAGCATGAAAATAAGCCAAAACCTTCAATGATAGAAGGGTATGGATCAAAGTCAGAAGGCTTTCACTGCCCACAAATCCTCTTCTATCCTTGACCCTGAATATATGTATAGAAAGTCAGTGCATCATATTGCTCCTGGACAGGCTCAGAATAGAGTAATGTACACCTTTTGCACACAGAACATCACAACTTTAGTCCCAAAGAATCTAGAAGAACGGACCCAGAATCTTGGAAAAGGCAATCACTGTATGTAGACCTGTGGTTTCCAAATTTAGCTCCCCAGATACGGCTGAAATTCCAGTTCCCAGCGCTTCCAGCCAGTATGTCCAAAGGTCAGGGAGATACAGGCCCCTTCTATACTGCCATATAAAATACAGATTATCTGATTTGAGTTGGATTATATGGCAGTGTAACTCATATAACCCAGTTCAAAGCAAATAATGTGTTTAACCAAAAGCCTGGTTCCAAAACCAAGATTTCAGTTTTTTCCTAAAGGAAAAGAGGGAGGACGCCGATCTAATATAGGTCAACCTACCTTATAACCTGGAGTCCGAATTAAAATGAACCGATTCTTCCTTTTGAGGAGGGCCCGCAAATCTTGGCATCTGTCATACCTTTCCAGATCCACAGTCTCGACACACTTCTCTTCTTGCTGAAAGGTAGAGCGAGAATGAATGATACACACTTGGGTTTTTTTGAACTAGAACATGGAAATCTGTCAAACCTAGAACAGAGTGATCCGGGTTCAAACTCTATGGGATGAGAAACCTGTTTGGTTAACCTAATTTGCACTTTCTTAATGAATGTGCAGATGAGCCACACATATTTTATTTTTAGCTTTCTGAATTTTATAGCACGAGTTGTGAAATCAAGAGAAAAACCATAAAAGGCATCCATTAGGACAAAGAGCATGCAGAGGGTTTCGGCCCACCGATATTAGGCTACAATTCGCATCAGACTCATTTTCCATGGGCAATGATTAAGGATTACTGGAGTTCTTCTAATACAAACAGTGGTGAGTAGTGGTCCTCAAACTTCTTAAAGGCCAGTTCACAGTCCTTCAGATTATAGTTCGAAAAAAACACCAACAAATCCCTATGCTACACCAGCTCCACAGGCTGCCTATTAGCTTCCAAGCACAATTCAAAGTGCTGGTCTTAACCGATAAAGCCCTAAAAAGTTCCGGCCCAGTTTACCTGTCTGAATGTATCTTCCCCTATGAACCATCAAGGACTTTAAGATCTTCAAAGGAGGCTCTACTCTCGCTCCCACCACTTTCACAATTGCGTTTGGTGGGGATGAGAGACAGGGCCTTCTCTGTGGTGGCCCCCCGCCTGTGGAACTCTCTTCCCAATGAGGTTAGATCTGCCCCCTCCCTCCTGACCTTTTGGAATGAAATGAAATCCTGGCTATGGAATCGGGCGTTTGTAGATTAAATGGAGTGACTAGTGGAGTGACACAAGATTTGGTCCTGGCCAAGAACTGTTCAATATATTAATGACTTGGATGAATGGTTAGAGGGTGTGTTTATCAGGACTGCAAATGACACCAAATTAGGAGGGAGAGCTAATACGCCAAAGGACAGAATCAGAATTCAAAATGCCCATATTGGATTAGAGTGCTGGGCCAAAATTACTGAAATAAATTTCAGCAAGGACAAATGTAAGATACTACACTTAGGCAGAAAACAAATGAAATGAAAACATATAGATTGGGTAATGCCTGGCTTGACAACAGTCCATGTGAGAAAAATCTTGGAGTCTTCGTGGACAACAAGTTGAACATGAGCCAACAAGAGTTTGTAGACTTCAGACATTATTAGTTGACGTATTTACTAGATTCCTGAAATCCATCGAACAGGTAAAAAAAGGAACAGGCTTCGAATAAAAGAAAGGAGTGCTTCTGAACCCATCCTGATTCTCAGAATTTTATTTACAGAAACGTGTTTCTGGCTACTCTGCTTTCCTTGTTTCATCTGCTGAATTTAAGTAGAAATTTTGTGGCTTCTATTGAAGAATGGGAAAGAAATAATTACAAATAAATTTATTTATTTATTTACAAGATTATATGCCACCCTTCTCGCCCCAAAGGGGACTCAGAGCGGCTTACAAGATACACACACACACACACACACTATTTTAAAAACTCTAAAATCAGGACAGTAAATAAAGAGCAATAACCAAAAAGCAGGGGAATTCCAGATATGAAACAATCAGGGCCAGCTAACACCTTCCAACACAGGTTCCCCCCAGACAGGAAGCAACCAGGCTTTGAAGCTGCAGGGCTCTTCAATGAAAAGCCCTGATCTATTTTGTTCACCCGTGCTGTAATGCATGATATATCTTTTGATCACCTCTCCCCACAATTAAATTCTCAAATCAAATCACACCACCTTTTATTTGCACCAAACAAATGGCCATAGCAGTTGATGCACAAACCTCTCCAAGTTCCCATCCTCAGAATGGCTTTTTGGTTCTAAAGCGAGCAGTGTTGACCAAGAATATGTCCTTGGAAGAGGATAATGAATGAATTGCCTTAGCTATGTTTCAAACAGAAAAGGGGGATTAAATACTTGGGAATTGCAAAGAACAATAACAGACTGTTTCAAAATAATTATGAGGACAATCTGGAAAGAAATTAGCAAAAATTGGGAAAAACGGATACAGTTGAATGCATCCTTTGTGGGGAGAGTTACCGTAATAAAAGCAAACATTTTGCCAAAGCTTTTATTGAATTTTATCCAAACAAGTTGTCAGTCAGGTTGCTGTGAGTTTTCCGGGCTGTCTGGCCATGTTCTAGAAGCATTCTCTCCTGACGTTTCGCCCACATTTATAGCAGGCATCCTCAGAGGTTGTGAGATGAGGTTTATATATCTGTGAAATGTCCAGAATGGGAGAAAGAACTCTTGTCTATTTGAGACAAGTGTGAACGTTGCAATTGGCCACCTTGATTAGCATTGAATAGCCTTGCAGCTTCAAAGCCTGGCTGCCTGGGTGAACCTTTGTTAGCTGGTCCTGATTGTTTCATGTCTGGAATTCCCCTGCTTTTTTAGTGTTGCTCTTTCTTTACTGTGCTGATTTTAGAGTTTTTTAAATATTGGTAGCCAGATTTTGTTCATTTTCATGGTTTCCTCCTTTCTGTTGAAATTGTCCACATGTTTGTGGATCTAATGGCTTCTCTGTGTAGTCTGACATGGTGGTTGTTAGAGTGGTCCAGCAATTCTCCTCCCCCACAAATATACCTTTTCCATTGCTATCTCATCCAGAGTTTTATCATTTTATGTGGTGCATTTGGCCCACCCACTGTGTTTGATTTTCCATTATGTTATTTTGTACTGTTTATTTTACTTGATTGGTTTATTTATTTTATTGTGATGTTATTTTGTTGTTTATATTTTATGTTGCTGTAATGTATCGCTGGGCTTGGCCTCAAGTAAGCCGCTCCGAGTCCCCTTTGGGGAGATGGTGGCAGAGTATAAATAAAGATGATAATGGTTATCATCATCATCATCATTTCTGTGTTCTCAAATAATATGCTGTGTCCAGGTTGGTTCATCTGGTGCTTTGCTATGGCTGACTTCTCTGGTTGAAGTAGTCTGCAGTGCTGCCCTTCATGTTCCTTGATTTGTGTTTGGAGATTTGTTAAGTGTTCTTACCATACATCAAGGGAACCACTGACCACATAGGGAAGCTGATGAGGAAACACAACATACAAACTATCTACAGACCCACTAAGAAAATCCAACAAATGCTACGTTCAGCAAAGGACAAGAGGGATCCTCTCACCTCTGCAGGAGTCTACCGTATACCGTATACCAAGAACATCCAACAAATGCTACGTTCAGCAAAGGACAAGAGGGATCCCCTCCCCTCTGCAGGAGTCTACTGTATACCATACGGCTGTGCACAAGTCTACAAAGGAACCACCAAATGCAACAACATTGCCCAGGCACGAATCAAGGAACATGAAAGGCACTGCCACCCAACACTAAGTCACCACAAGATATTTTTTTAACAATTGTAACTCCCAACAACACTGGGAAATCCCATTTTTCTCCATTGATCTAGAGCAGCGTTTCTCAACTCACGAGAGGGTTTCAGAGGGATCACCAAAGACCATTAGAAAACACATATTTCTGGTCTTAAGAATCCCTTTGGCATAGTCGTTTGGGTTCACAGTGCTCTCTAGATGTAGGTGAACTACATCTCCCCTAAATCACTGTCAGTTCATCCCAAATCCCTCCAGTAATTTCTGTTGGTTACGGGGGTTCTGTGTGGGAAGTTTGGCCCATTTCTATTCTTGGTGTGATTCAGAGTGCTCTTTGATTGTAGGTGAACTATAAATCCCAGCAACTACAACTCCCAAATGTCAAGGTTTATTTTCCCCAAACTCCACCAGTGTTCACATTTGGGCATATTGAGTATTCGGGCCAAGTTTGGTCCAGATCCATCATTGTTTGAGTCCACAGTGCTCTCTGGATGTAGGTGAACTACAACTCTAAAACTCAAGGTCAATGCCTACCAAACCCCAGTATTTTCTGTTGGTCATGGGAGTTCTGTGTGCAAAGTTTGGTTCAATTCCATTGTTGGTGGAGTTCAGAATGCTCTTTGATTCTAGATGAACTATAACTCTGAACAACTACAACTCCCAAATGACAAAATCAATCCACCCCAACCCCACTAGTATTCAAATTTGGGCGTATGGGGTATTTCTGTCAAATTTGGTCCAGTGAATGAAAATACGTCCTGCATATCAGATATTTACATCACGATTCATAACAGTAGCAAAGTTAAAGTTACGAAGTATCAGCGAAAATAATGTTATGGTTGGGTCACCACAACATGAGGAATTGTATTAATTGCATTAGCAAGGCTGAGAAACACTGATCTGGAGAGTAAGAGCTACTCCTACTGATGTCTAATCTTGTTGTATTGCTCTTCTATTTGAAACAGATCTCTCTCTTAACTGTTTTGCATGTTTGAATACCACACTGGGAATGTGGACATTGATGGAGGAAGAGACTATGTTTTTATAAATGAACAGTGTCGCAATGCTTCACATTTACAACAACTTTACAGACTCATTCGGTAGCCTCTACTTTGTTTTTTTTACTAGCTTTCAAGCCCACACATGGCTGGGTCAGTTTTTAAAGCTAAAAGTGGATGGCTCAGAGTGGCGTTGGGAAGAGATTGTGCTTTCTCAGTCTTCTGCAGCCTGATCTAAATGTATGGATGATATTGAGCCAGAAACTGACACAGGGTCGGACTTTAGCACAACTAAAGACTTTCAATATATATTTCAGATTTCAATATTAATGTCAAAAAATGTAGTATGATTTTACATAGGATTTGAGCTACATTGGAACAGTAAAGACAAATATCACTTAAGTAAAATAAACATTAAATATTAAATATTTAATGAAAAAATAAAATAAGGTGTAAACACTAAAGTAATCTGGGAATCTGCATAAAATCTTGCCAATTGAAAGGTTGACAGGTCAAACCCGGGTTGGGGTGAGCTCCCAACTATCAGCCCAACTTCTGCTCACCTAGCAGAAAACAGTATTGCGAGTAGATAAATAGGTATCATTTTGGTAGGGAGGTAGTAAAAGGCACCCACGCGGACATTCTGGCAATTTGATCAGGAGAGCATGGCATAGAAGATGGAGCAACAGCACCTCCTCCCCAAACACACACACATGTTCAGAGTCGAGCACAGCCTCCAGATGCCGGAGATGGAAAAGGATGGGAAGCCTTTACTTCTGTTTATGTACCATCTGTCTTTGTTAACTGTAGAACAAAAGGCTCGCCTCCCTACATTCTGAGAGATGGGATTGGGAATCATGCCAGGGGGGCTGTATGCAATCCATATTGCAACAATCCCACCCCTCCTCTACCTCAACTGAACCTGGGGTGCATCTATGGCAAGGATCCTCAAACTAAGGCCAAGGAGCCAGATATGGTCCTTCAAGGCCCTTTCCCCAGCCCCCGCCCTAAACTGTAGACTTAGGGTTGCCCTCAATCTGCAGTGACATAAAGACACACAACAACAGTAATTCTAATTAACTTGATTTTTGCATCAACCAAAAGCAGGCCCATGCTTCCCACTGAAATGCTGAAAAGTTTATGTTAGTTTTAATTGTTCTTCACTTTAACAGTGGCACAGAATGATTCCATCAGTGTTGCCTCTGAAAAATCCTTCAAATCTCTTCAAATCATGAACAGAAAACGGAATGTTGGTGAGCAGGAAAAGACATTTAAAGATGGGCTCAAAGCCAACCTCAAAAACTCTTGGCATAGACACTGAGAACTGGGAAGCCCTGGCCCTTGAGCACTCCAGCTGGAGGTCAGCTGTGACCAGCAGTGCTGTAGAACTTGAAGAGGCACGAATGGAGGGTGAAAGAGAGAAACGTGCCAAGAGGAAAGCGCATCAAGTCAACCCCAACCAGGACCACCTTCCACCTGGAAACCAATGCCCTCACTGTGGGAGAACATGCAGATCTAGAATACGACTCCACAGCCACCTATGGACCCACCGCCAGGACACCCATCTTGGAAGACAATCCTACTCAGACAACGAAGGATCGCCTAAGTAATGGGTTAAAACCTTGTGCCAGGAGGACTGAAGACTGACAAGTTGGAGGTTCTAATCCAGGGAGAACACGGGTGAGCTCCCTTTGTCAGCTCCAGCTCTCCATTTGGGGACATGAGAGAAGCTCCCCACAAGGATGGTAAAACATCAAAACATCCAGGTGTCCCCTGGGCAACATCCTTGCAGATGGCAAATTCGCTCACATCAGAAGCGACTTGCAGTTTCTCAAGTCGTTCCTGACACACAAAATAATAATAATAATAATAATAATAATAATAATAATAATAATGTATTGTTCTTTCAGGTTTTCGTTGCAATACAAACAAAATATGTGCAGTATGCATAAGAATTTGTTCTTTTTTTTTTCAAACCATAATCTGGCCCCCAACAGTCTGAGGGATCCCTGATCTACTCTAGAATTAAAACAGTTTGACACCACTTTAACTGCCATGGATCAATGCTATAGAACAGTGTTTCTGAAACTTTGCTCCTCCAGATGTTTTGGATTTCAGCTCCCACAAATCCCAACAACTCATAAATTGGCTGGGATTTCTGGGAGCTTGAGTCCAAAATACCTGAATGAGCAAAGATTGAGAAACACGAAAACTGTAATGTTGAGGTCTTACATCTTCTCTGTCAAAGAGTGAAGTCTCCCTCACTAAATTTGGTGAGCTGGGTGTGGATCCACTTCTAAACCTGTAGCTCCACATCACTGCGCAATTCTGCATCACTGATAAAAATATCTCCCAGTGATGGAGTCTGCCCTGAACCATAAAACCACCAGTAGAAACACGCATCCAAAAATATCATTGCAGCATTAAAGGTGCCATTGAGATTTTGCAACCCAGTGACACAGCTGCTAACCCCCTGGAATGTGTCACAAAGCAGCTTATTTTGTGATGGAATTTACATCCTACCTTTTTCCTCCCATTTGCTGGAAAGCCCCTGGCAGCTTATCGCACAAAAGGAGCTGAATTAGAAAAGCCGTGGGTCCAAGACTTACTGACAGGCCCCAGAGGGTAAGATGTAAGACTTACATTAGACTCCCAGGTAACTGGCACCCATAGGAGTGGAAATGCTAGATAAATGTAGTTTCTGATTGCTTGAGAGTTACTAATAAAATAGGCCTAATGCTCTACCCCACACTATACCATCCCATAAACTCTGCATTGACGTGCTATTAGTGTTGAAGTACAGTAATTAAAAGCAAATAAAGACAAACTTAACTTAATGAAACACAATTTTACTGTATTATAAAACATCTCCATGAATCCAGAATCATTTTATTTATTTTTTTGCTTGAGTTGCAGTTAACTGAGAGCCTACTATATCACTATATTTTAGCAAAGGCTAGATACAAAATGAAGTTATTTTTCTGGCTACTGACCATACTGGCTACTGTTGGTGGAAGTAAACTATTGTATATTATTGCACTGTGTTGCATTGTCTTGCACTGTAACTTCACCAAACTCTAGAACAGCGTTTCTTAACCTGGGGATCGGGTCAGAGGGGTAGCCAAAGACCATCAGAAAACATGTATTTCTGATGGTCTTCTGATCGTCTTATTGATTTATTTTTTAGTTGTGTCAGGAGCGACTTGAGAAACTGCAAGTCGCTTCTGGTGTTAGAGAATTGGCCGTCTGCAAGGACGTTGCCCAGAGGAAGCCTGGATGACGATGTTTTTATCATCCTTGGGAGGCTTCTCTCATGTCCCCGCATGAGGAGCTGGAGCTGATAGAGGGAGCTCATCCGCCTCTCCCTGGATTCGAACCTGCGACCTGTTGGTCTTCAGTCCTGCTGGCACAGGGGTTTAACCCACTGCGCCACCGGGGGCTCCGGTGTTATTGGTTATTATTATGTATTTTACTATGTGCACATTGGAGGCAGAGAAGGCTGAACCCTTTGGCAGAGAAGGCTGAAGATCTCTCCTACTATCATTTTCTTCTTCCCACCAAAAGCCTCCTCCGCTGTGGTTGGCTGGCCTCTCACCAGTGGCGCAATGGGTTAAACCTTTGTGCTGGCAGGACTGAAGACCGACAGATTGGAGGTTTGAATCCAGGGAGAGCACGATGAGCTCCCTCTGTCAGCTCCAGCTCTCCATGCGGAGACATGAGAAAAGCCTCCCACAAGGACGGTAAAAACATCAAAACATCTGGGTGTCCCCTGGGCACCGTCCAATTTTCTCTCACCAGAAGTGACTTGCAGTTTCTCAAGTCACTCCTGACACAAAAAAGCCAAGGGGAGGGCTGTAGGCATGCTCAGTGCACGGCAGCGTGGTGCACATGTACGGGAGAGAGAGAGAGCATGTGAGGTGGGAAGGAGACTCTTGCCAGCAAGTCCCTTCAAAGCATGGGGGTTCTGTGTGGGAAGTTTAGCCCAATTCTGTTGTTGGTGGGTTTCAGAATACTCTTTGACTGCAGGTGAACTATAAATCCCAGCAACTCCAACTCCAAAATGTCAAGGTCTATTTTGCTTAAACTCTACCAGTGTTCACATTTGGGCATATTGAGTTTTTGTGCAGATCTATCACTGTTTGAGTCCACAGTACTCTCTGGATGTAGGTGAACTACAATTCCCAAACTGAAGGTCAATGCCCACCAAACTCTTCCAGTATTTTCTGTTAGTTGTGGGAGTTCTGTGTGTCAAGTTTGGTTCAATTCCATCATTGGTGGAGTTTGGAGTGCTCTTTGATTTTAGTTGAAGTATAAATCCCAGCAACTACAACTCCCAAATGACAGAATCAATCTCCTCTCCCAAACCCATCAGTATTCAAATTTGAGCGTATCACGTATTTGTGCCACATTTGGTCCAGTGAATGAAAACACATCCTGCATATCAAATATTTACATTACAGTTCATAACAGTAGCAAAATTACAGTTATGAAGTAGCAATGAAAATAATTTTATGGTTGGGGGAATCACCACAACATGAGGAACTGTATTAAGGGGCCATGGCATTAGGAAGATTGAAAAACACTGCTCTAGGAGGAGAACCCAATGGCATCTTAGCATGAGGCAGCCATGGAAAGGAATCTTGCCCTACTCTTCTTACCTCATTTTCATAAATCAAGAGCTGGGATTTACATAGCTGGATATAACGCTCTTTCCAAAGACTCAGAAGACCACCGCTGCTCTTTTTGATCCAGCCAGCTTTGTACGTCTTGGCAGGACATTTTGGTTTCTCAGCAGCCTCCTCCTTCACACCCTACAGAAGGGGAAAAGAGGGGAAAGTCTGCAATTAGAAACTCACATTCTGACACCTGTAATGCACTAGATGATGCAAATAGATGTATGCCATTTCTTTATTTACCGTATGTTCAAATGTCATGGGTTGAAAAAAAGAGTCACACATTGAGTAAGTAGCTACTTACTCATTGCCAAAAAAGGAAGAAACACAGCACTTGAAAGAGGAAGCTGATATGTATCCTACAGATGCAAAATGAGAAATAACAATTGTACTAACATTTCAGCAGAAATATAGTAGAGTGTGGAAGAATATAACCCATGCAGTTATATTGTTATTATTATTATTATTATTAAACTTTATTTGTACCCCGCTAGCATCTCCCAAAGGATTCGATGCGGCTTACACAGGCACTATGATTCCACTTTAACCCCAATGGTTCCATCCTGCATAATCTGCAATAAGGTATTTCGAATTCTCAGACTGAGAGCTTTAGTGTCTCTCCAAACTATAAATTCTAGATTTTCATGGAATGAAGTCACAACTGCGGAGATTGCAGGTGTCGCAATGAGTTAAACCCTTTTGCTGCTGAACTGCTGATCTGAAGGTTGGCAGTTCAAAGCCACAGATTGGGGTAAGCTCCTGCTGTTAGCCCTAGCTCCTGCCAACCTAGCAGTTTGAAAATATGCAAATGTGGGAACGTCCTTGCAGACTGCCAGTTCTCTCACACCAGAAGCGACTTGCAGTTACTCAAGTCGCTCCTGACATAAAAAGAAAAGATACAATGCTGTTATGGGTTCAGACACTGCCTTAAGGTGAATCTACACTGCAAAATTAATGCAGTTTGACACCACTTTAATTTCTGTGATTCAATGCTATGGAATCTTAGGAAGTGTAGTCTGGCAAAGAGTGCTGGTGCCACAACCAAACAACAACTCCCATGACTCCATAGCATGGCAGGTCAAGTGGTGTCAAGTGGTGACCCAATGGGTGAAACCCTTGTGCCGGCAGGACTGTTGACCAACAGGTCAGCAGTTTGAATCCGGAGAGAGCAGGTTGAGCTCCCTCTGAGAGTTCCAGCTCCCCATGCAGGGACCTGAGAGAAAACTCCCACAAGGATGGTAAAACTTCAAACATTCAGGCACCACCTGGGAACGTCCTTGCAGACAGCCAATTCTCTCACACCTGAATCGACTTGCAGTTTCTCAAGTCACTCCTGACACAAAAAGAAAAGATAAACGCTGTTTTGGGTTCAAATTGTTGCTTTATATACTACTAGTTTATCTTGTATAGTATTGTATGTTTATTTTATTTTATGTGTTGTTTTAGGCGCTTTGTGCCACGTGTAAGCCGCCCTAAGTCCCTTCGGGGAGATGGAGGCGGGGTAGAAAAATAAAGTTATATAAAGTTATAGAGAGGGCGCGGTTGGTGCAATGGTAAAACCCTTGTGCTGCTGAACTGCTGACCTGAAGGTTGGAAATTCAAAGCCGTGGGTTGGGGTGAGCTCCTGCTGTTGAGAAAGTGTTGGTTTCTAATATATGTAATGTCTTTATGCTTGTGGGTAAACAGTATTTCTTGCTGTTTCTTTGTCAGTGTTGATGTGGAGATTGTTTGGTTTACCTACTCTGGAACATGCAACATCTAATTGTCCTTCTTTAGGAGTCCCTTTCAAATCTATACTATATCTTTGTGTGTGTGAATCATATATATCTATGGCTGGATAGCTCTTTGTCAGGAGGGTTTGGATTATGTTTTCTTGCCCTGGTGAAAGGAGTTGGACTGGATGGCCTTAAGTATTTTCTGTTGTTCATGGGGGTTTTGTGAGGGAGGTTTGCCCCAATTCTGTCATTGGTGGGGTTCAGAATGCTTTTTGATTGTAGGTGAACTATAAATCCCAGCAAGTACAACTCCCAAATGTCAAGATCTATTTCCCCAAACTCCATCTCTGTTCATATTTGGGCATATGGAATATTCGTGCCAAGTTTGGTCCAGATCCATCATTGTTTGAGTCCACAGTGCTCTCTGGATATAGTTGAACTACAACTCCCAAACTCAAGATCAATGCCCACCAACCCCTTCTAGTGTTTTCTGTTGGTCAAGGGAGTCCTCCTGTGTGCCATGTTTGATTCAATTTCATCGTTAGTGGAGTTCAGAATGCTCTTTGATTTTAGATTAACTATAAATCCCAGCAACTACAACTCCCAAATGACGAAATCAATTTTTTTCAGTGATGGTCACTCCTTGGGTTAGTAGGTGTCTTGATGCCAAATTTGGCGGCAATTCATCCAGTGTTTTTTGAGTTATGTTAATCTCACAAACAAACATTACATTTTTATTTATATAGATATTTGTTTGTGACCTTCCAAAAGGTTATAAATACCATTTCCCAAACTGTTATGGAGATTCACATTTTCCAAAATACACCCTCATCTAAGGACAAGAAGCTCCCATTTTTCCAGGCCAAGTGTGCCTCATTTGTTTTTGTTTTTAATTGAAAATATTTCTCGCAATATCAAACTAGTACTGAAAGGAAGCGTTCCTATAAACTTTACAGCACACATTCTTGGGAGATCAGGTGCAAGCCTGTTCATGAAGAAAGCATGAGAACATCGCAGAGGTGTATGTCTTTGAAGGAAAACTGCAAGAGAAAGAAACAGAAAGAGACAGAAAGAGAACCTCACACTGTAAACACACATCCACATCGATGCATACAGACATGCATTTTACATGAGAAATAAAGGCATTAGGCCAGTGTTTCAACCTTCCTAATGCCGTGACCCCTTAATACAGTTCCCCATGTTGTGGTGACCCCCAACCATAACATTATTTTCGTAGCTACTTCAAAACTGTAATTTTGCTACTGTTGTGAATCCTAATATAAATATCTGAAATGCAGAATGTATTTTCATTCACTGGACCAAATTTGGCACAAAGTCCCAAACTGGTATAGTTGTGGGTTTTGGGGGGATTGATTTTGTCATTTGGGAGTTGTAGTTGCTGGGATTTATAGTTCACCTACCATCAAAGAGTATTCTGAACTCCACCAATGATGGAATTGTAACAAACCTAGCATACAGAATTACCAAGACCAGCAGAAAATCCTGGAAGGGTTTGGTGGGCAATGACCTTGAGTTTTGGAGTTGTGGTTCACCTACATCCAGAGAGCATTGTGGATTCAAACAATGATGGATCTATACCAAACTTGGCACAAATACTCAGTATGTCCAAATGTGAACACTAGTGGAGTTTGGGGGAAATAGACCTTGACATTTGGGAGTTGTCGTTGCTGGGATGTATAGTTCACCAACAACCAAAGAACATTCTGAACCCGACCAACGATAGAATTTGGCCAAACTTCCCACACAGAACCCCCATGACCAACAGAAAATACTGTGTTTTCTGATGGTCTTTTACGACCCCTCTGATACCCACTCGAGAATCCCACAGGGGTCCCGACCCCCACACCGAGAAACCGAGAAATGCTGCATTAGGCCCTTCGACACAGCCAAATAACCCAGAATATCAAGGCAGATCATCCAAAATATCTGCTTTGAACTGGGTTATCTGAATCCACACTGCCATGTAATACCTCTGTGTAGAAGGGGCTGTTGTTGGGCATGACAATTTCTAAAGGGAATGTAAACAAACCCAGATTCTGTCCACAACTCTGGAGATGTTTTCTTTTTAGTTATTTGACCCTAACAACTATTTGCTATAGATAAGGAACAGCAACATGTGGTATTAGATTCCCTTGCAGCCTTCCATCTCATTTCAAAAGCTCTCTGTATGCAATCAGTTCAGGCTTCCTGCAAAGATAAGAGACTCAATTTCTCCCTGGCAAAGGAGGAGGAAAAGGTATTTTGCTGCTTATTTATGGCTTTGGGCCTCAGTGGCGCACCAGGACAAGCCCTAAAGCCATACCATCTTGAAGAAAAGACATATCACCCACCTCTACTCCAGAACTGTGCTCACACCAACAATGACAACCCCCTACCCTCCTGGTTTGGCAGGGAGAGTCCTCCTTCCATCCCATTTTCTCGGCTGTTTTAAAAACATTCTGGTTTATCTTGCCTTCCACTTTCCCCATTTGTCCTCAGCTTACTTCAAAGTGCAAAAGCAGGTTGCATTTAGAATAGCGTTTCTCAACCTGGGGGGGCAACCCCTGGGGGACTCGCGAGGGGCTGTCAGAGGGATCACCAAAGATCATCAGAAAATACAGTATCTTCTGTTGGTCCTGGTGGTTCTGTGTGGGAAGTTTGGCCCAATTCTATCATTGGTGGGGTTCAGAATGCTCTTTGATTGTAGATCAACTATAAATCCCAGCAACTACAATGCCCAAATGTCAAGGTCTAGTCTCCCCAAACTCAACCAGTATTCACATTTGGGTATACTGACTATTCGTGACAATTTTGGTCCAGATCTATCATTGTTTGAGTCCACAGTGCTCTCTGGATGTAGGTGAATGACCACTCCCAAACTCAAGGGCAATGCCCACCAAAACCTTCCAGTATTTTCTGTTGGTCATGGGAGTTCTGTGTGCCAAAATTGGTTCAATTCCATCCTTGGTGGAGTTCGGAATGCGCTTTGATTGTAGGTGAACTATAAACCCCAGCAACTACAACTCCCAAATGAGAATAATCAACCCGCCTCAAAACCTCAAGATTGCAAATGTGGGCATATCAGACATTAGTGCCACATTTGATCAAGTGAATGAAAATACATTCTGCATATTAAACATTTTAATTACGATTCACAACAATAGCAACATTACAGTTTATGAAGTAGCATTGAAAATAATTTTATGGTTGGGGGTTGCCACAACATGAGGAACTGTATTAAGGGGTCAGGGCATTAGGAAGGTTGAGAACCAATGAGCAGGAGGGAGAGCAAGGGGCAAAGTCTGCTCTTTGTTAACTCAATACATCAGTTTCATTATGTGTGTGTGTGTACTATATATATTGCTCTAAATAGTAGTTTTGTGTGTTCTTCCTCATTAATTACTTTTGCTTTCTTGTTGCCAG